ATTCAAATTTTAAAATGATACACTGATAACACCATATATTCTAAGAAACAGAAACATGTAGGGCTGGAAAGAGGGGTCAGTAGTTAAGAGCATTTGCTGCTCTTTTGGAGAACCTGGGTTTGTTTCCCAGCACCCACATGGCAGCTCATAACCATCTCTGACTCCAGTTCCAGGGGATCCAATGCCCTCTTCTGACCTTCACAGGCACTATACACATGTGGTACATATACATACATGCAAACAATCATACACAGAAAATAAAAATAATACAGGTTTTAAAAAAGCAAAAATGCATGGTCTTAAATCATCAGAATAAGATTGGGAATGATGGTTCATGCCTTTCATTTTAACACTTTGGAGGCAGAGGCAGGAGGAGCTCTCAGAGTTTGAGGCCAGCCTGGTATACATGGAGAGTTCCAGGCCAGTCAAAGTATATAGTGAAACCCAATAAAAGGTTTACATTCAACACAGATAAATAACATAAGACCTCAAAAAGAAACTGAGGTGGGGAAAAAACTGTTGGGAGACTTTGACTCATCATGTAAGAAAAAGGAAGGCATAAACTCGAATGGGGGTAAAATAAGTACAAGATTCCATGTGTGTTAAGGTGGAACTGATGGAGACTTATGAAAACTGGCATTTGCAGATACTGATAAGTACCTGAGATTACTTAAAAATACTAAATCACAAAGTACAGAAAGGTAGAACATTTTGCAAAAATGCAAAGCTCTCTGGTGCTTAAGAATGGACCCTGAAGAGGCAGCTAGCATGGGCTGCCTTCTTTTATTGGTCGCCTCCTCCAGGACTGTTAGAGAAGCTGCAGGTTAGAGAAGCCACACTGCATGCCAGTCACGTATCGATGTGTGGTCAGGGGCTCCATACCATAGTCAAACACAAAAGATCCAGAATTAAAAAAAAAAAAAAAAAGAAACTCAGTCACTTGAAAATTAAAAACAAGCTCTGGCCTAAATAATTGGTCCAAGGAAGAAATTAAGATACAGTAACAGTCCCTAGAAAATTAGGACAAAACACACCATCATGTGTCAAGACAAATAAATGAGGCAAGAGAAACAAGCAAAGAAAACTAGTACCAGGACACTTGCATCTTTTATAAAACAAAATTTAAATAACAACAATGCAGATCTGCCCTCCTTAACCAGAGGAAGGAAACAGTCAAAAACAAACCAGAGAGCAAAACAATACAATTTACTAAAATCCAACAACAGTAATCAAAGTCTCTTCAAAACATAACCAAAAGATACATAAAAGCATAGCAAAAGGAAGGTAAACATTTTTAATAAGACAGGAATTTTATGAACATTGGTAAATGAATTTAGAAATTTCAATGAAAAAATATTTTTTGTTAAAAATATATACTAAAATCAGAGTAAAGTAAAACCCTTAAATGGAAAATATTGATATGAAATTGAATAAAGCATATCTCCACCTACCTCCGAATATATATGAAAAATTATGAACAGTCTTACTAATCCATTGCAACAGTTTTTCAAGGTGGAAATAGAATATGCCTAAGTGCCTGCCTTTAGCAGGCACTTTGCTAAATGCTTCATATATATTTTAATTACTGGCTGTGGAATACTTGCCATCTTTATCAAAGCACCTGGAATTTTTTGCCTGAGACCCTCAAGATCAGGTCTGTTGAAGTTCCCTTATACCGGAGAGTAGGGAGGGTCATGAGACTATCACCAGAATTTCCAATGAAAGTAACTTAGCAACTTTATTTTTGCAAAAGGTTGTGGTATGTCACTCAGACTGAGCAAGCACACTGAACAGGAAGTTTGCTAGGTTTTCATCCTAACACAATAATACTGTGTCTTTTTCCCATAAGATGGAGTCTGACCTCATGGCCTTCGTAGTTGGCTAGTTTTAAAAGAACTGGTGCAAATAAAATGGTCAAGGTCAAGTTCCTGGAATGTAGCAGGGCCTTTGTGTAAACAAATTTTTACATGTTGGGAAAGATTAAAAGATTTGAGTTCCTTATTGTAAACAAAAGTTTTACAAGGTAGTGGGGGTTACAAAATTGCATTAGTTACAAAGATTATGCTCCTATGATAATTGATAGAAAAGATTTGACTTCTTTGTAATTATTTCCTTCATCACTGTGACCAAATACTTGATAAAGGTAACTAAAATGGAGGAAAGATTTATCTGAGGTAAAAGTTTCAAAACTGTTAGTCCATCATGGCAGGGAGGGCAGTATAGAACAGAACAGCTCACATTCACTCCAGGAAATCTGAGTCACCTGAAGATATGCTAAGGAGGGGAGGGCTAAGTATGCACTTAATGAGATGATATGGTAGTCCTTCCCAGAGGTCCCTCCCTTAGTGCAGATGCTCAAAGCACATCCATCATATAGCACTGCAGAGCCTGCCCATGTTTCCCTTTCCTTCTTTTTTCAACTCTTTCTCTTTGGGATACTGGTCGAAGCCCAAGCATATTTTTCCCAACACTTAGGCTTTCTCATTCTTCTCTCAAGCTCTCTCACTACCCACTTCCCTCTCTGCCCTATGGCTGCTTTGCTGCCTTATGAGCCCACTGACCTCTGCTGCTGAACATGCTGACCTAACTTAAATGACATGCTTTTTCTCCTCTTCTCTACCACCTTCTCCTGGTGGCTGCAGAGATTTACAGCTTGCCTGCCCTATTGTTTTTCCCTCAAACTCAAACTGTCCTTGAGCTTCTTTCCCAAGTCCATTTTTAAATTCTTTTATTAACAAAACTAAGAACCCAGGAGGGAATACTCATTTCCCTGGTAACATCAATGCAAAGTATGAAACTTTTCTCATATGACACTAATCTCTTTAGAAACTATGTCTCCCTTCCCTACAATTTTATACTGGTTTTTATGACCATAACTACAGAATTTTGGTCTTGTGTTTTGCTCTTTGCTCCTGATGCTCACTGTAAACCTCGCTAAAAGTAGCTATCAACAACCATGCCACAGCCTGAATGTTGGACTGCCATGAAATCTCTGCTATGTAGTACATCACCTTTAGAGTCAGCCTCTCACAGTCACATGGGGTAGATAAATTTAGATAAGTTCTTTGCCAGAATATGACTGTCAGTGGCTTCTAGTCTAATTTCTAAGAGTTCATGTCCCCATATGAAACCATGTGAGTGCAGTAGTTACTATCCACATTACTATTGTTATCCTGACGTTCTAAGCTCAGAATTGACCATTAAACTCTGTTTATAGCATTCTAGACCTTCTCTATCTTCCATTTCCAACCCTCACAAACAAGTTCCAGAGTCTTAAAAAGCATAAGATCAGGCTAGTCACAGCAAAGACCCACTTCTTTGTTGCCACTTTCCTATGTTAGACTTTATCACTGCTATGGTCAAATACCCAAGAGAAACAATTTAAAGGAGAACTTAGCTAAGCTTGTGATTTTAGAGTCATGTCAAGAAGAGTGTTGCTGAGAACATTAGCTTACAACCTGACAGCCAGGAAACTGAAAAGGATGTTGCTCTAGCTGGCTTTCTCCTTTTCTCTCTCTTATTTCATTCAAGCCCCAAGTCTGTGGGACAATCCTACACACATTCAGGGCAGAGCTTAAGCCCCTATTTAATCCTCTCTTGAAATGTCCCGAACAACAAAAACAGGGGTGTGTTTTATTAATCTCTTAGGAGTGTCTCAATCCAATCAAGCTGATATGATATTTCCTATCAAATCTCTACAGGTCAACTGGCTACAGAACCATCGAAGACAGGAACAGGAGGGAAGGGGCAGTTTCAGGTACCCCAGAGCCAAAGCACCTTTAAGTGACCTGGAGACACTGGTATGGGTTGGTGGAGAAAGAAGAAAAAACAGACTGATTTCAAATGCAAAAGGTCCATTTCTTCAAGACAGAACTAAAATAGGGGTCCTTGAAAACTTATTTCCCTTTTTTTTTTCTTTCTAAATTCATTGAATTTCCTTTTTCCATTTATATCTCTTTTTCAATGGAACCATTACTTCTCAGGAATTTTACAAATTATTAAAAATTATTGAGTACCTGTGGAAATCTGCCAAGTGATAAATCTTTGTGCATTTAAAGAAAAAAAATTAAGAGAACATATCAACTTAGTCAAAAGAGAAAAGAAAGGCCTTGAGCCACCAGACTGAGGCCTCTGGCTAAATTATAAGGGGCTATGGATCATGGTATCAGATCATGTTCATCTGGGTCTTTGCATAAGCCTTGCACAGCATTTCCATGTGTTTGAGCTACCTAAAGACATAGCATCCCTAGGGTGTAGGCACATGACTCCAGATGAGCTTCACAGGGAACAACATGATAGAAGTACCTGAGTGACAGGTCATCCTGTGCTTTCCTGTTGAAACCACAGGAAGTAGTGTCCAACATAGGCGCACATATTTGAACAACTGGCCCCAGTTGGTGGCACTGTCTGTGGAGGTTTAGGAGGTGTGGCCTTGCTGGAAGACAGACTGAGAGCTCACAGCCTCAACCCACTTCCAGTTACTCGCTCTGCTTCCTTCAAGTGCTTGAAGATGTGAGTGCTCAGCTTTCTGTTCAGCCACTTCCCCAACATGATGGACTCTATCCCTCTGGAACTGTAAGCTCACATAAACTCATCCTTTTGTAAGTTGTCTTGGTTATGGTGTTTTATAGCAGCAACAGACAAGTTACTGAGACAAAATCTTAGTGGTCTTGCTTCCCTAGGGCCATTGGTAGTGACAAGGCTGAGTGAGGGGTGGAGAGATGAGGACGCCTCTCTAAGCCAGAAATAGCAGGCACTGTATTTAAACCCCTGAAGTGGCCTGGGGAACATGCTCTTAATCAAGAAGTAGGCAAAGCCCAGCAGAAGACTGAAGAAGGTTCCCAAATTCCTCCTAAATCCACAAAACAGACAAAGCTTTGTAGTAAATTCAGTTTGGATTTTCTACAAAGCCAAACGCTTGCCTTTCTCCTAGCATATCTTTGAGCCTTTAATCTAGTAAAGCAGTTCTCTAAAGCAAGGTGGAAGGAAGTATTTCTCACCTGGTTTAATTTTCCTCTGACACTTTGGGTTTTCTTCTCCTCCTTTCCAGCTTGCCTCCCTCCTCTCTCCATACCTTTCACCTCATAGAAGAGTTAGCTAAGTGGAGAGGAGAAGCTCTTATAAGGACACTGCCCATTCAGAGTCACAAGCATATGAGCAGGGGAGTCAGAGGGGCAAGGTAAAGTCTCATTTCACAGGGTCATCCTGGTCTCTATGGAGAACCTGTTGCAGCCGGGCAAGAGAAAAAGGCTAAGAAACATTAGCAGAATTTAAGCCTGGACCCCAGGGGCTACAGCCTGGGAACAAAGATTCTGGATCAACTGGAGATACATGTCAAAAAGTCAGATCAAGATCTGGTACCTAGGGCTGGAGACAGGGCTCAGTGATTAAGAACACTGGCTGCTCTCATAGAGGACCTGGGTTCAGTTCCCAGCACTCAGATGGCAGCTAATAACCATCTATAACTCCAGATCCAGGGAATTCAACACCCTCTTCTGGCCTCCATGAGAACTGCACACAAGGGTACACCTACATCCATGCAGGCAAAACACTCATAAAAATTTTTCAAATTAAAAAAAAAAAAATCTTGGACCTGAGCACCAGACAGGGTATTTCTGTTCATAGACATGGGGAAAGCATAGCAGAAGCCAGGATGGGGAGATGACTTCCTTTAAGAGGCACATCAGTGAGTGAAAGCCCAGTTGAACAGACCTTTCTGCTTCTTGCATACTGACATTAATGACAGTCTTTCTTCAGTGGAAGGGAGTGGATCTGCTTTACATAACGATATATCAGACTTTGAAGTAAAGCGGCTTGGTCTCGTGGACAGGGTGAGAGCCTTGTATAAAGCCCATCTCCTCAAGGCTCATGTGGTTGGTGCTCCATGTGGCAGTGTTGGGAGGCAGTGGGATCTTTAAGAGGTGAAAAAAATAGGTTATGAAGGCACTTCCCCCAGGAGAGATTAACTGGCCTTGCAGGGTGAAGTCCCAAGAGAGCATGCACGTGGTGTGACAATGTGAGGTAACCACATGCATTTAACATCTTCTGCATGCAGCATTTTCCTTTCTCCTGCTCTGACATGCTGTGATATAGCAAAAAGGCCCTTACAAGAGGTCAAATAATGGAGTTGCCTGATCTTAGACTTTAAGCCTCCAAAAGTGTAAGCCAAATAAACCTTTTTATCTCTTTTCTCTACACATTACCCAGCCTCAAGAATTTTATAACAGTAACAGAAAATGGCACAAAACACTCCTTACCCATCCCCTGCCACGTCACCCCCTGCCAAAAGGTTAAAAAGCTACCAAGGCACTTCCTTTTAAAGGCCAACGAAAGTTAGAAACTATATTTATTAAAAGATGCTACAGTAAAACACATACTGAATTAAACAGTTTTAACTGCAAAGACTGGGGTTGGTATAGGATCTGTAATCTGGATGACACTAGTATGTTAAATTTAAAAGTTCTAAATGTTTAAAAACATTTTCATCCTTTTTTTGAAAAACTTAGATTTTCATTGCAAAAGTCTTCAATGTATAATTATGATACAAAATTTTCTTTTTCAGATTTATTTTTGTTTGTTTGTTGAGAAAGGGTCTCCTGTAACTCCAGCTGGAACTTACCACTCATCCTTACCCAGATCTACTACCTTTGCTGGGATTAAAGGCGTGTGCCATTTTTGCTGGGGGACGGCTTAAGGGTAGAACACTTGCCTAGCATGCAAAAGGATCTGGGTTTGATCCCTTCTACCACAACAAAAATCATAAACAAATAAAATAGATTTAAAAAAAAATTTTACTCTGACCACACTAGTCCTAGGATACTAGAGTCTAGAGCTGGTATACACAGCAGAAATTCTTATGAATTTAGAAAAATCTTCAAGGATCTGTCATTTCAAAGAATATTTTTTCCATTAGTGGATCTAAAATCTGCAATAACTAAGAAAGTGTGTGACCTTTAATGAAATCATCCATGTCCATTACGCACACAGTGGACTCTCAGTGGTCAACTCATCTGTCTGTGATGTAATCCATCAAAATACCCACAACAGTGCAAAAAGGGCACTTTTGAAATTTACCCTCTTCCCTTCTCCAAATCTGTTACTTCTGCATGAAATGCTTTGCATGCAGCTATTCAGGGTTGTGCTTCTATCACGAATCCTATGGCATGTTACTGAATTCCTAACTCTTCTCTTAATTGAGACTATAATTTTAAAACTTAATCCTCTTTCGAACTTAGAATGGACTGTAACAGCCTGTTGATCTGGTGAGTCCCTCAGTGATATTGTCACCAGGCTGCCCCATTCTCAGAAAGAAGAAAGGAAAACCTATTTCTTAAAGAAGGCTGGAATGCTTGGCTGTGAGGTCACAGATGGAAATAGAGCCCTCTGGCAGTGCTCTGTGGGAAGTGCCCTGAAATGAGCTCCTTCTGCTACCTCATCAACAAAATTTCCTTGGGAGCTGCCAAGGCAGAAAGTTCTTTCATGATTTATCCTCTCTTTATGATAAGGTTCTACGGTGGTCATACGAACATCTTGGTAGACACCACTGTTACCATTCGTATGTGCAGCCTGCCTGAAAAGTTTTATTAACTGCCAATGCTAAACAAAGACCAAAGATACCCACACCCCAACAAAACCTCCTGCCTTACTGAACCTTTTCCTCTGCTTCTCCTTTCCTTTCCATACCTCCATTTCAAAACAACCTATCCAATCAAACCTTCAGTGATTATAATTCATATTGAGCCTGGCAAGAGTTGCTCTTGGAACAAGACACCTGGAATTGGTAGAGCATGCTGTCTCATAATTCTAAAATCCCAACAGTGGATAAAAATGTACAGATAGGCACCAGGCCCAAGTTTTGAAGTCCCAGACCCTGTGTTGGGGAAGTCAAATGTGCCACTATCAATATTAGAAGAACCAAAACTTTGGCACCACAAAAAGCACCCAAATTTCTAGTCTAATTCTGCTGGCACTTTAATGGAAGGGCAAAGACAGTAGACACTTAAGATACTTAATCACACCAGGCTCCAGAGTCAAGCCTGCACTGACCTCCAGGGTCCCGAAATAACTCCTGCTGGCCAGGACTGTCCTCCCAAACCAGTCCAGGCTATCTGAGGATAGTGCTCCCAAGAATTATCTTTATCTTATGATACATGTCAGAGTCAACAAAACAAAGGCAGATTCTGAGGATCCACAGTGATTTGGTTCTTGGTGCTGTACTCTCATTCAGGAAGAACTGACTGAGGGGTTAAAATATGTACTGCTCTTGCAGAGGACTGTAGTTCAGCTTCCAGTGCCCACATCAGGCAGTTCCCAACCACCTGTAACAACAGCTTCAGGGAATCCATTGCCCTCTTTTCGCCTCCACAGGCACTCACAGACATGTTCACACACACAGACATACATTAAAAAAAAAAAAAAAAAAAAAAAAAACTTGAACTAATTCTTAAAAAAAATTAATTAGTATGCTGATCCACCCATGTCTGAAGCATGAGACCCTCTAAGAGAGGTGTCTATGTCTTTATACCTTATCTCACACTGATTTCACCACTTCTACCTCTACTATGTCCTAGACCCAAATTGGCAGGCCCATTCAGTCATGCCCCAAAGTAGATGTCTATGACCTCACAAGAGGAGAGCAAATGTAGAAAGAAGGGTAGGTGGAAAGAAAAGCATCTCTACAGATACTTATAACTAAAATAATCTGCTGAAGCCATATTTGAATTAGCAAAACCCTAGAAACAAAGCAAACACCCATCACCAAGTGGACAGAGAATCCAAAGGTGACATCACAAGTCTATTCAGCAATAATAGGTACCAAATAATTGACATGTACTTCTAACAGATAGTCTCAAAATAGCTCAATTAAGTGAGATTAAAAAAACCCCAAAAGATATTTTAATAATCCTCTAGAACATGCAAAATAATCTATGCAAGAAGGTAGGTTCATGAAAGCATTGACAAGAAAGGACTGAAAGGTGCATGTGACAATTTGGGGTTGATGGACAGTTTTATTATCTTGGCTGATTTATAATGGCTCTACATAAATAAAAATGCATTAGCCTGCAGATTTTAAAGATGTGCAACTTACTATGCTCAATGCATGACCCCTCAGTAAATTTTTTAAAGGGGAAAAGAAAGCAATTTGGGAGGAGAGAGAGGTATCAAGGAGTTTGGTGCAGTGTGACTATTGCTTGAATATGAAATGTCAACTGCAAGCTCTAATGATTGAAGTCTTTGTCTCCAGCTGGTAGTGTTGTTTGGGAAGATTGCAGGGCCTTTAGGAGGTGAAGCCTCACTGGAGAAAGTGGGTTACTAGGGGTGTGCCTTGAGCTTTGCAGTGCCAGTTCCACATCCTCTTCCCTCTTACTATAGATGCAATGTGATCAGAGCTAGCCTCCTGCGTCTGCAGCCCCATGACTTATGAAAAAAGTAACTCACAGAAAATTGGTGTTGAAAAATTAGAACATTACTGTGGTAAATTTGACAGTGTGTTTCCTTAGGCTTTTGGAACTAGTTTTCAGGAGGAATGCAGAAGAGTTTAGAACTTTAAGATAGGAAATCCCTGGAATGCTGTAAGCAGAGCTTATTGAGTCATTCTGATGGGAGTCTGGAAGACCAGAAGGCCAAGAGAAATGCAGACTGTGGATATCCAGCTTACATAGTTTTAGAGGGGAACAAGGATTCTATCAGGAACTGGGACAGAGTCTATTCTTGTCGGCAAAGAACTTGACTGAATTCTGCCCATGCCTGAGAATTTATGTGAGGCTAAATTTTAAAATTATGGACTAATTTCTCTAACAGAGGAAATTTTAAGATGACATAACATTTAGCTATGGCAGGGCTAGTACTTGATGTTTTTATTCATCCCTATGATTTGAGAGAGAAATAAACAGAACAAAAATAAGTAAAAACTGTCAGATTTGGTAAGAAAGGTATGTGAGCATGCTTAAAGCTTCCAAAAAAGGAGAGTGTAGATGACAAAGCATCTGTACTTGTTAAAGAAATTAGAGCCACTAAAGAGAACCTTCACCAGTTTCACTAGAACAGCAGGAAAAGTACCCTGAGGGCAAGATCCGGCTTACCAAAGGCTCTAACTT